TCGGCTACTGGGCGATTTTTATCGGGAGGTTTTACGTGACGGCTTATTGTTGCCTATTTGCACGACTGGGAGTGCTTAAATTGCCTCCCTTTTATTTCTTCCAGCCGAGTGTTGAACACTCGGTGATCTCGTAAAAGGCTTACCCGTGCCTGGTACCCTTCCGCTGTTGGGACCACGAGGATTCAAAACACCTGCTAGCTTTGCTCGTGCTAGTAGCGTGTTCTTATTTTACTGGTTGGCCTATATAAGTAGTTTACAAGGTCCAGTTTGTCCCGGTGCAAGGGCAGAACTGGGGTCTTCAGGTCCGCCCGAACGATCGTTTACTATCCTAGTAGACGTATTGTTGTGGGAACATCCTAACTACATCTGTAGCTAGAGTTCACGTGGGATTTCCAACACCACAAAATTCTGTTCTGTATTTAAGCTTACCCTTTCGGGTCTATTCCTAATAAGAAGTCCTAATCAAGTATACAAATATCAAGTGAACAATGATCCGTTATGGATCTTCTTGCATGCCAAGCGTCGTCTGCATTGTCGCATGAGCATCTTTAACGGTCCGCGCCCTGTCCTAGACGGTTAACGTGTCTTCCAAAGGTCGCTGAGTATTCCGCGAACTCATCCCAACCGCCACTGAGGGTTCGTACCGTAGATGGTCCGCTGAATGCGAATCCGGCCAGTCCATTATTAATAATAAGGACAGCCTGGATTCAGTGACATAGGGCCGTATCCGATACTTGTTGAAAACTCGGAGGTGACGCCGTCGAGTCCCTTGCACCTTGGCGTCTCCGTACATCACCCGACCGAGGGTTCGTCGCTTGAACAACTTGGGCGGTGTCACGTCTTTGTCGACGGGTGATAATCCGCAACCACGGAGAAATCACTACACCACAACAGTGTTGACGAATATCACGCGAGTGACTTCAGCAGCTCTTCTGACAGCGATGAGGATTACGCCCCCTAAAGATAGGGAGTAGGCATGAGAGGTAGTGTCTTAAAATTGAAGGTGCAAATCCGTCGTTTCAATTTGTATTGGAATTTGTAAGTATCAAAAGTACAAAAAGAGACGATAGTACAATAAAGGGCGACAGTACATTAAGGGACGACAGTACATTAAGGGACGACAGTACATTAAGGGACGACAGTACATTAAGGGACGACAGTACAATAAGGGACGGACGATAGTACAATAAGGGACGACGGTACAATAAGGGACGACGATAGTACAATAAAGGACGACGATAGTATAATGGAGGGGGTAAGTACAACAGAGGACGATGGTACAATAAGGGACGATAGTACAATTAAGGCCGATGGTACAACAAGAGACGACAGTATGGTACAGTCAGGGACGTCAGTACAATTAAGGACGATTGCACACCGCTACTTTACTGGCTCTCCTTCGGTTAAGAACTGCTGCAAGGATCTTGTTGACGGTGAGTTTCTCGCCAATGAAGGTTGCGAAGTCCTTCTCGAACTTGTCTTGGTCATCGTCGTACTGCTCGCGAATGAACTCGGCGATGATCTTCATCCTGGAGAGACGCGAGCGATGAACTTTTCGCTCATGTGAAAGCATGTCAACTCCCGCGCGATACTGGTGACAGTCCGGGTTTGCATTCCAGTACTGATGAACATAGTCTTTCCACGACTTGGCGTCCGGAAGTTCAGACACTAGTGCTGTCGTATCCGATCCTGGCTTAAGATTAGCGGCCACTGGCACTTCAATATCGTCGTCACACAACTGTTCTTGGGTTGAACGCGGTGTATCGCTAATAGCCTTGACCATTTCATGCAGCCCTTGAAGCAGTGACTTCAGCTCTCCCAACTCGGTGTTAGAGGTATCAGTGTGCTCTTGTGCGGCGTCTGCTGATTCAGTCGTATGCTGCGTATCCTGCATAGTCTCGTCTGATAACTGTGAGCCTCCAAAGTCGATATCCCGTATACCTTCGAGAGTCGCGCTACTGCATGACGTCGCGTCCGGAGCCAGCGAATCGCCCAGTTGGTTCTCTTCTCGATCCAGTACGTCGTCCAGCAGTTATCTAGTTACTGTTTCGGACTTTTCGCTTGGTGCCCACCCTGCCCACCACTTCACGAGCTTCAGTGACCACCGTCGATCTTCAGGGGCAAACATGAACCGGTACTGTGCACCACCTCGACGGAAACAGTGGGATGTAAACCAAATCTCGTCACCAAGCACGTTTCGGCTGATTCCAGCAATCTCAGCGATAATGTTTAATACCTGAGTAAAGTTGCTATCTGACATTGGCGAGCCCAATTTTATTCCCACGTAGCACAAGAGTCGCTGCTCGCTAAAACACCTCATCTCTCGCCTTCGCCTTCTGGAATGTGCCGCGTGGTACCCTTCCGTCCAGGGATGGAAACCGGGTAGTCGCTGTCACCGCCAGGTGTGGTGAAACTTCTTCCGCGCGTACGTAAACCATCTATCCAAGAAAAGTCAATGCTTCAGCTGCCCGCTCTTCCTTCGTGAGATGATGGAGTGAGTAGGTTCGACTTGTGAGGGGATCATGATCTGTCTTCCGGTCACGAATAGTGAAACAGCCAAACTCGATGTCGCTGTCATTAACGCGCGATTTTCGTTTGAGACCAAGCTGAATGTCGCCCTTCTTCATGAGCAAGACTTCGTTGATACGGCACATACCATAGAAGCTGAGAGAACAAACCGCAGAAAACCACAGCCGCATGGTTTCGTTGAACATCGAATTCGACTCCAAGAATGTAATGACCTTCGTCAGCATCAACAGGGACATCGGGGACGCACGCTTTGGAGTCCGCTCACGCTTCTTGGACTTGCTGAGACCGGCGAGAATCTGCTTGATGGCTGCTGACCGTGCCGGGTTTGCTTCGAGGTGCTATGGTGCCGTCCGGAGAAGTCTCAACAACCCAACGATCGTGTGGGTGGCCACCGGCTAGCATCTCAGGTTTCGTGTAGTGCCAGCTAAGCGCAGCGCGAAGCTTTTCAGCGGGCCATTGAGTTGAGTTGGAGGTGGCGAGTAAGTTGATGTACGCGGCCACCACACCGGGCAGCTCCACAAATCGTTCCTTCAGTGGGTCTGGGTAGCCTTCACTTTTGCAGAACGCTGAGAATCGTCGAAGACTGCTGCATTAGTCGCTACGCGTCCGGCTCTCGAGCCTTTGATCCGCAAACCGGGCTGCAGCGATAGCAGCTTGGTAGAGTCGACTTGTGGTTGGCAGGTCCATTAGCGCCTTCTTCACGGGTTGGTCTTAGCAGCAAAAGGTGAAATGAAGATCTCATTCATTCGGAGGATGGTCTCGGGTATCCGTCGTCCCTTATTGTACCCAAAATGTCGTCCTTTATAGTCCTGTGCCTCAAATCCAAACGCATGGTGCTGACAAATGAGTTCTAAAGTAAATCAATGACTTTTCAGTTTTTTGACCAATCAATAAACATCGCACGGTCATTTATTGGGCTCGCACCAGTGGGAGAAGTTTTTCTTCTTCTAAAAACAAACATTTTTAGTAAACAAAAGTAAACAAAATCATATTAGCGCAAGGAAATAAAAAAAATAAAAACTTACCATCAGCGCGAACTGTCAAGACAGCCGTCATGCGTCCGCAGTGTTTTGTCAGATTTTGAATTTTTAGCTGATCCTTTTTCGCCCTTTAATTGCCCATGTTCTTGCTGGAGGCAGGTCGAGCTGGATGGCCGTTTCATCCATGTTGTAGATTTCCGGTAGAGAGTATGAACCGTACTTACTCCAAAAAAAAAAAATTCAATTGCAAAACCCTTTTTTCAAGCGCTGCAGATCCACACTTGGAAGCTTGGTTTCTTGGGCGTTTTGAGTTGAGAATCCGTAACTAAAATCATGTAAAAAATATTAATAATTCAGTTAATAACTAGCCGAGCGCCGCCGCTACGCGGCGGTAATTTAGGTTTAGTTCTACTTGCTTTGGCCTTCCCACCTCCGCTACGCTTCGGCGGGATAACTATTGAAAAAAACGTTGAGCCCAGGTGCACCTAAATCGATTCTTTTTAATTTCATTAATTTGGGTCAGCTTGATGCTTACCTGATTTAAGAAATAATTATTCTAATGATCTTGAATCAAGATTCTTGATGCAATCTCTTTTCTATTGCTGGCTATCACTGTATCTTCATCTTCCACCCAAAACCACCAGCACTTCAAATAACATTTATACAAACGCTTCACAATATGTTTCGTTTAGCGTCGTGCTCGATATCTCGGGCCATTTCTGAGCCGCTATAAAACTTAGCTCACATCAGCACAAACGATAGTAATGGCCTGTCCAACTTGCTCTACTTACCTGCTTGTACTGCCTATTTCAGCTTGTAAGTAACTAAAGATTGCTTACTTTTCATATCAAACTCAATGATAGCTAAAAATATTCAAATTTTACTATTTTTAATGTATGTAGCGTTCATTTTGTGCTGATTCAGAGTTAGCACTCGAATCTGTGCCAGTTATGATTGAAGCATTTAAATATTGTGTCGCAAGACGCCTTGCTGCTACGGTAGTGTTTTCTATTTGATAATTTAACGATGATTCAAGGATTATTGGACGTCATTTAGGCTCCAAGTTTATTAACATTTCTTTATGGTGTCTACTTAGCCAACTATAATTAACACCTCTCGTGTTTATTGTTGTATTGCCGCTCCATTTATATGGGTATCCTACGCCCCTGTCGACGACCCGTCCGCCAGCTAAGTAGTATCGGATTTTGCTGCCTAACAGCTCTTAAAAAACAATGGCTTACAGCAGTCTCTTAGAAAACAATGGTTACAGCAGTAACACATATGAGTTCATTCTATTCAATCTAAAACTATGTATCTTTATGGATCAGGTGACAACATTTATTGGCACAGCGTTGTTCGTACGGCCAGCTTCTGTTGTACATGTACTACTATTTGACAGCTCAATCAGTTACCTCACACTCAGATATGTTCTTAATATTTCTACAACAAGACAGTTGTAGCTATTATGTTGGTCATTGTAACTTGTCGAAACTATTAAGAACAAAGTATTACGTATATTATAGTATGGCCTTGAAAACACGCATTCCTACATGTACGCTAAGCATCTTGCAGCATAGGAAGCGTCTTTAGGGGCTATTTCATCTGAGAATAAGTAGCACTCAAATATTAATACAGTCGTGCACGTCCAATTCCGCACCGGTATCAGTCGATACCCTGCCAGATTTTATGATTACGCGAATCGGATGCGCAATTACCTTTGCCCATCACCACCCTAGCAATTAACCTCAACGGGTTTCCCCTCCTCGCCGAAGGATGACACGCCGCGTCGATCTGATTTTAAATTTTGGATCGGACGTCTTCATACAAACACACACTTTGATTTTTACCGCCAAAGACAATGGGACATCGCCCTTTCTCCTACATGTCCCACAAAAGCAGTCTTTGTGCGAGACTGCATGCTCTCACTCCGAACTTGCTCGTTGGGCAACGGAGCGCTTTAAGACCCCCCAAGCAGTAAAGCGCACTACCGTCCAGAGTATTCTTAAGCGGTCCGCGAAAGTTGCCGCCTTGCCGGACGCCTATCGCGACCGGAAGCGCTGTTGCGAGCCCGCGATTCGCGCGTCTGACGCCAAGATTATGCAGAAGATTGGCGTAATTTTTTTTACTGAATTAACAAATAAAATATCAGTGCACTGGATTTGCGTTTGTTTTTTGCTTTACGCTGTGCACTTATGCCCTGGCACTGTTGATATGGTCCGCCCTGCCGAATTGGAGGTGCACGACTGTAGCAACTTCCCATATTAAAATAGTACAAATTAAAACTTCGTCGTATTTAAACGATGCCGCCATCGGGTAATGGATAGTCGTGTGCAAATCTCCATATGTGCTCTGTGAGCCACATGAATTTATTGATGTATGCTACATAATTCCGTTTTAACCAATCGAAGCCGCCTTCGCTCCGCTCGGCAGCCAATGGGAAGGCTAAAAAATTTGAGCGATTCGTGTGACGGACGGACGGACACCGTGCTAGCCTTGATAACTCAGTTAACTAGCCGTTCGCCGCCGCTACGCGGCGGAGGTGGCAGGCTGTAGTCCCAGGGGAAATGGGCTCACGCCTTCGCTGCGCTCCGGCGTAAACATGTTTTATGTAAACGTGATGTATTAAATGCATTTGAAATTGAACATTCCTACTCCGAGCCAAAGATCTGCCTGTAGACAATGTTCTGGGCGTAGACCCCATCCTCCTCCTCCAGCTTTGGGTACTCGACCAGCACCTTGAATCTTGATCTTGAAGTAACTCGCGACATCGCAACGTACAGCTGCCCGTGGGAGAAGCAAGGCGTAGCAAGATACAGCCCCAAGTACTGCACCGTTTGTCCTTGCGCCTTGTTAATCGTCATCGCAAAGGCCGGTTGGACAGGAAACTGCTTGCGTCTCAAATGAAACGGAAAGCTCCGAATGTCTCCGTCACTGATGAAAACAATGCGGGGAATCAACACATGTTGCCCTTGTCGCTCACCTGTCATGATTGTGGCGTGGATGACATGTGGCTTGAGGGCCACAATTCGAAGCCGTGTTCCGTTGCACAGCCCTAGATCTGGATTCAGGCTCCGCATCATCATGACAGGCAATCCTACCTTGAGGGTCAACTTGTGGGGCGGCATTCCACTGATATTCATCGAGTGGAGTACCTCCTGCTCGAAGCAATTGCCGTCACCGTCGTCTTGTACAGAATCGGAAGACATGTATTCCCGCGCTTGTCCAGTTAATCGATCGGTCACCGTTTCATTGATGCGGTGCACGATTGCGTTCGTGGTCGTGAGGATCGTTTGGTTCGCGAAATACTCGTCGGTAGCAACCTCGGGGTTATTAATCTCGCCATACATCTCGTCAATGATCCGATCCATGCCTCTTGGAATAACGCCAGGACGAATTTATTGGTCCTCGTCCTCTGGCACAGGTGGATTATCAATCAGCATATCGCGCGGGGTCTTCATGTAATCGCTTCCTAGGGAAGGGTTTACATCATGCCTTCCCTCCCCGACTTTCAGCAGAAACTCGGAGAGCGCAGCCATTTCCTCAGCAGTGTCTGCAGTATCAGCAGTGCGCACTCGCATGTTTTCCGTGAGACGGAACGTCTGGAATTGGGGCCACAACCTAGACGACTTGAGGCAAGCGTCAATTGTCTCGACGGGTGTTCCATTCTTTACGACCGGGAGAATTTGGCGGAAATCTCCCGAAAGTACAAACACTTTCCCGCCAAAAGGCTCGGTATCGCTGTCAAGTATGTCCCGCAGTGTTCTGTCTACTGCCTCGAATGCGTGGCGATGGGCCATTGGTGCTTCGTCCCAAATAATTAAACTTGCATGCTTGATCAACTCCTGAATATGGGAGTTCTTCCTGATACCGCACGTCGAGCTCTCGTTTAACTTCAAAGGGATCTTGAATGTAGAATGCGCTGTCCTACCACCCATAAGTAAGAGCGAGGCAATACCGCTAGACGCCACCGCGATGGCGATTTTCCCCGAGAGTCTGACTTTGGCCAGTATGTTTCGAAGCAGTGTAGATTTTCCAGTACCACCCGGGCCATCAACAAAAAATAGTTTCTTGCCTTCCTCCGGGCATTCAACCGCTTCAATAATCTGTTCGTAAACCACCCGCTGACTTTCGTTTAGCTGATCTTCTGTGTTTACAATCGCCTCCAAAGCTGACGCATCATATCCAGTGAGCTCACGTCGTAGTAATCCGTTTTGGCGAAGCGCCTCACGAATCAATGTTGGGAGCGACCCCAACTGAGGAAGTTCGTCGAAGTCAGCTACCGCATACCCACTCGATTGAAGCAGTTCTTGAATGCTCATCAGCGTTTCAAATTCGACCAGCGCCGACTTGAAGGGGTCCATCAAAGCCTGATGTTTGCGTGCGAAGTCTTGGGAAAGATCCGCGAAAAACCGATCCCATAGA